TGTGGACGGAGCTAAATGATTCGAACATTATAATGTTCCATTTTGATTGTTCCCGCACGTTTTGGGAATCGATCCAAATTACATATTGGAAAATTGATGGCCAATGGTTTAATAGTAATATCAAAGAAAATGATGTCGAAAGCAGAACCAGGCGATTTTTTGGGGCTCATAAAAGTACCGAAAAAACTTTGATAACTTTGACCCATACCAGGGCCAAATTTGACCCAGGGTACCATACGGTACGTACCCAGATCTCCTCTTGCAGAGCTTCAACCTCTGCAACCCCGCACTCGGCCCAGGGATCCTTCCTTAGCGGAAATTTTCACCACGGCCGGCGTTTTCAGAACTGCGGCCGGAAAGCCCTGTGATTGATAGGGAACATAAATAAGATATGTACATATACAATCACATAAATATAATATCTACATATACAATCACATAACTATAATTATATATATATAAATAATAGATCTACAAAAAATAACATAGATCTGTAATGACCTATAATGATTGATCTCTAATCTAAAATATCATATATAGTGAAAATCATAGATATACAAATTCTTTGTTGTTTTTCGCTGTTATGTTTCAATACCAAAGGGTAAACCAATGCTGATTGAACTGGTTGGTGCTTTGGCATGGTTTGGCCACCCAAATGTTCCCAGGCGCCCCGGCCATTTGTCCAATTTCTCCAGCTTGATGCTAGGGTCGTCCAGCTGATTTTGACGCACCTGTCACGGGAGATCATCAGCAAATCATGTCATGCACAACTGCACAACAGCCCCATGAAGAAAGAGAAGCGGTTACAACAAGTGCCGGAAATACACTGAACATGTGAACATCTACTGTAAATGTTTATAACATACATGCTTGAATAATATATATATATATTATATACAAAATATTATACTGTACATTTGCAAAATGTTCATGTATATTACATACGTATACCTATACATATACATATACATATACATGTGCAAATACATATTCATGGTATATGTATACACCATTGCACTTGTGGTTCAATACCCACTTGCGGTGCTTCATCCCAAGGACATAACGGAGTATCCGCTGTCCACCCGCGCCATTGCCCTTGATGTTTGGATCTATTCATGTTGGATTCAAAGAAATGATTTTGCACTACTATGATTGATGGTTAAACGGTTAAGTGTATGTTATTGGGATATCAAATCCATATGATCTTCAAATATCAATCTATCATGTTACTGGGATATCTATCATGATATTTGCTATGCCCCCATTGCACTGTAGATCCCGCCACGAGTTGGGGATCGGAGTTCAGGGTCGAACTGATCAGATCCCATGTTTGAAGTACTTAACAGGTTCATTCCATCTTGTCCCCCTAATATCAAATGCCACCAATAAGGGATCCCCAATGAACACACACACATATATATATATTATAATATATATATAATATATATAATTAGATCCAATATGATCCAATATGATCCAATACTAAGACAAAACTTCTAAGAGGGGATCCAGTGTTAGGGGGAATGGAATGCAGCGACTCTAACCAAACTCCGTTCTCGCAATTTGTCCCAAAAACAGGGGATCGACGCCACCACTGGCCCCCATTTTGGATGAACAGCACGGGAGGATTTCAGAAGTGAAACTACCAGCCACTGCCAGGGGGCATGGAGACGGGCAAATGCAAAATCTATCCAGATGCAATGGGCCTTTATCGGGGCCTTATCGGGTTTATCCTCACTTTCGATCAGCCAAAAATAACCAAAATTCCCTCCCAACATCTTTTGCCATTGGTTGCAGTGCATTTCATGCCCAGCTTCCATGCATGAAATTCGTGAAGTCTATGGACCTTCATCCAGACTTCCTCCATTATCAATGGCCGATAGCTGGTGCCAAACACTTCCATAACACAAATTGATCTTCAGTTGAAACTCGTATATCCGTATATTGCCAATAAAAGTCTAAAAACACTAAGCCAATGTTGATTATATATAACCCCAGATTTTGACTCCCCTAAATGGATATCGCGGCCTTCAAGCAGTCTAGACAAACACGTTTAATTGCTGGTTCTACCCCATGGTTTACCATATACAATGTTCCTCCGCCTCAACCGCAGTAAATCTCCCATAAATCCATACAGAAATCCCAGTGATTGGAGTTGTGACAGCGCAGAAACGCATCTTGGGTGGGGGTAAAGTAGATACTACACACATACACACAATATACATATATCATAAATAAATAAATAAAGAAAGAAATTTTAATATATATATATATGTATATAAACCATTGCTATTGTTATTCTCATTGATTTTTGTTTATTTGTTTGTTTATTGATTATTTATTTATTTGTTGATATAAATATATATACATATATATATACATAGATATAAACATGTAACAAGATCTATAATGTCCATGGTTGGTTTGACCCTTACAAACAGCGATCACCAAAGCACCAAAGCGGCCCCAGCGAAGCCATGGGCTGCGTCCCTGCTTGGCAGACGCAGCTGACGGCCCGGGTGTGGGCCATGACTTAGGTTGAGTTCACCCCGAAGTTGTGGTGAAGATCTCGGAAGACACATGCCTAATTAATATGCGTGTCCATATATAATGATATATATATATAATATATTGAAAAAATAACCGATGAAATGATGATGATGATGATGATGATGATGATGATGATGATGAAATGAAATGACATGAAATGAAATGAGATGAATTGAAATGAAATGAGATGAGATGAAATGAGATGAAATGAAATGATGACAATGATGATGATGATGAAATGATGATGATGATGATGGTGATGGTGATGATGATGATGATGATGAAATGAAATGACATGAAATGAAATGAGATGAAATGATGATGAAATGATGATGAAATAAACTGATGATGATGATGGTGATGATGATGATGAATTGATGATGATGATGATGATGATGATGATGATGGTGACGGTGATGATGATGATGATGATGATGATGATGGTGATGATGGAGACGGAAATCGTGAAGATGTTGGATAGAGCTGAATGTTGCAAAGCCCTCTGGTCACTTTTGAGTGTTTGGGATGTTATGGGATACCCTCCTGTAACGCCTGTGACGCCTGTAAACCAACACAGCCATGAAACAGAATTAATCCCTTCCTCCTATTATTAAACCCCGCCCAAATACTAAAAACTAGTGTCCATCTCCAATTTTGGAAAATTTCAGATTGGCCAATTTGACTTTTAATTGATCCCCTTTAGAAAACAATTTGAAAATAAAGCTACCATTTGTGAGTTTTCCCCCTACTAGAAACTCGTTCACCCCGGGGTGTTTATTATTCGAGTCCGTCTGATTTTTTTTAGTTTTTTATATTAATGTTTTTAATTAAGTATTTGGGGGAAGCATCGAAATCTTATTTTGGCAATATTTTAATTGCGTTACATAAAGAAATTTAATTGATTTTGAGATCGGAAAAATAGTTTTTATTATTAAGGGTTTTAATTTAATATTAGGGGGAAGCTTCGAAATCTAATTTTTGGCAATATTTTTTTATTACGTTATATAAAGAAATTTAATTGATTTTGAGATCGGAAAAAATAGTTTTTATTATTAAGGGTTTAGTTTAATTAATTAATTAATTAATACCACCCTAATACTAAAAACTACCTGCCGTGTTTATTATTAGGGGGGAACGTTTAATATTAGGAGGAAGGGATTAGCGTATTCATAGATGGTTTGTCTAGTAGAAACTAGTGATCTTCCATGTCGCAAACTGTTAAATTAGGGACTTGCACCCCAACGTCACTGGGAAGCTATCCTAACCCACAGCATGGCCACGACGAGAAGCATCTCTGGGATCTCATTTTGAGCGATATTTTCCAGATGTTTTGGCTTGCTGCTTCGGAAGGCATGTTCACCACGGAAATTCCGGGAGGGTGCGAGGTTCAGCTGCTGTTATGTGCCCAACAAATTGGGCACCCACCAAACACTGGTGAAGCAACGACGTGATCGTTACAGAACCAAGCAAAATAGATCAAGCCACTTACAACCCATATATAATCTATTTATATCTACGTATGGTATGCCTACATTCAGGCGCTAGCTTCCATAGATTCATTTAGGTAATGTCTGATGGCTTCCGCAAAATGATGATGTCGCACTCTAAATAATCTACATATATGCACATAGATGTCAGGCATTATGATGTGACTGGGGGGTTCGGCCAAACTGCGGGTTTCCAACGCTGACCCACTGTGGTTTCAAGCCTGGTTTTTGATCAAGCCTAGTTTTTGATCAAGGAGCTATGTATGTGCTGCAAAGTAGCCAAATGCAACATGCCTTCGTTTCAACCAAGATCTGGAAGACTCAAATGGATGTTGACCATTCTGATAGGAGTAATTCTTTTATTGGGCCCGCCAGAGTAATCCAATCAATCAACTTTCAATCAATTGAAGAGTAGGATTGCTCAATATTTTGAATATTCTGCTTAACCCACTACAAATATTCAGTATAGGCTTGTTGTCCGGCTGTTGTCCGGTGGAGAAAAAATGAACCATCCCCAACTTATGTTTCTGTATGCTTCTGTTACCCTACTTGGGATGATTCGCAGTGTTTTTCCCTGCGAGGTTGCCATCACCAGTGTTTCCTAAGGTGGGGCAGCGAACCCAATTTTCACTGTGGCCTTGTCATTCTTTGATCAATGGATTATGTATCTACTTTTTTTGGGGGAACATATTGGCGGTTTTGACATTTAAATCCTCCTATCATCCAATGTTTACGACGAAACTTTAAATCCAATTCTGGGATTTGAGGGACCCTCTGATGATCCACTGATGGCATATGACACCCAAGAATCGGTCAATTGGTAAGCTTACGATGGATGATATGCCTGATATGCTCAGGTAAAAAAAAAACATGTTCTGAATATTTCTGAATTATGAGAAGCATCTACTGCCCACAGATCAAGATGGCAAGGCCGTGCCGCAAGTTTACGCCGTGTCTCAGGTGTCAAAAACTGCCATTGCGTTTCAACTGGGACAGGGCGACACGGTGGCAGAGGATGGCAAGCAACAAAACATGATTTAACCAACAGTCTATAATTGATTATAATCAATTTGGTGCAAACAAAATCATGATGTGGTCAGTGGCGTGTAGAATGTACAAAATGCGAATGTGTGATGCGTGCAATTTGTATGTCTACATACACGTGTATATATAATTATAAATATATATATATATATACAGTATGTATGTGTGTGTATGTATGTATTCATGTATGTATGTATGTATGCATGCATGCATGCATGCATGTATATATATATATATGCATATCATACGAGTGTGTATGTGCATCTATTTGTTTAATACATACACACTTATATGCGAAAATGAATACATGTATGCTATATGTACGTGTATATATATATATATATATCAAGATAGCACAATGAAATGAGGATTTAGGCACTGGAATGTTTTGGAATCCCAAAACCTGCTGTTTGGTTGATGGGTGTCCTTCAAATGATGACCAACAAGTCCCCTGTAATAACCAATCAGCAGTTGTGTTTTTGATGGCTCAAATGCAAAACCAATCATTTATTGAGGCTTGACACTGCATCATCACTGACTTCACGGCAATCCGTCCAACTTGGCTGAATGTCTGAGTTGATTTGTTGAACCTCAGTGTTGCCAGATTGACTCCCACATTCCTACCAAAATCCCCATGAAATTCAATCCAATTTCCAAAAGAATAATATATGATTGCCGTTGAATACCCATGGTTAGCAACCAAAAAATAGCAATCCCAAAAAATGCAAACAAACAAGCACAACAACATCATCTAGAATAAGACCAACATGTAATCCTACAAACAAACAATTCTTTAGTGCTTTTAAGGTTCATTTGAGCTGCCGTGACAGGCTCACGGGAATGCATTTGGGTCTGCAGTGAGATGAATATTACTTGGTTTAATCAACGGGGTTTATAAATGACATTCAGAACACAACAAATATCCTACAAAATAAAATATATAATCCATGATATAATTGGGAAATTCTTGGCATTGTAGCTCCTTGGCCCCCCATTCAAGAAATATGGATACCTTTAGCTCTGAACCGCTCCTCCATGCTCCTCCTAACCACTCTTATGGTATATAAATAAGTATGGCAAATGTATATGTATACAGTAATGGCATGTACATATATAAATTATATATATATACACGTGCTAACTAAATGGTAAATATATGTAAATATAGTAATGGTAAGTATCTAAATTGAATTACTATCTTCACACCAAAAAAAATGTACATTCTTTGCATATATAAGTAAATAAATACGTATATGATTAATACGTAATATACCTTTTTCTAGCATTATGAATGTCACCATTTTCTGATTGTAACAGTTTTTGTTGGCGATTCCCACATCCAGCGGCCTCACCAGTGACGACCTTTGAGATCTGCATAAAGTGTTGCGCGCGGTCGCGCAGCTGACGGAGGCTCTCCTCGTGGCCGACCGTTTTTTTTTAACATCACCAAAAAACGGACAGACGTTAAAGCAATGCATATATATATATGTGTATACGGATATATATCTATCTATCTATCTATCTGTCTATCTATCTATCTATCTATCTATCTATATGCATGTGTATATATATATATATATATTAGGTAATGCGATAAACCACCAAAATGGATATAGACATTCCATGATCCATGGCTTCCAACGGACCATGATCTGGGGAGCCACCAAGCGAAAAGAAAAGGACACCTGCCTGCTCCACAATGTCGGACTCCTGTGGAATGGCTAACTCTAACTGGATCTGCCGAAAGGGGAAACGATAGAGAAGTTGGTGGAACTTGGCGGTTGTGAATTGTAAATTGATGGTGGGTATACCTCTAGTTTTCCAATGGGCGTCTCTTTCGTTACCCATTTTGTTCAATAAATTTAGCACAAGTTGTCTGATCTCACACATCTGTCTGAGGGGGTCTATCTGCCGGTTGTTGGAGGGCAACGCAAAATGCCCCAGAAATGGAGGTTTTAATTGGATCATCCTCCCTTGGAATTTACTAGAAATAATGGATTTTCCATTGCCATGTTTGATCAATTGCCAAAGGGTAGGTCTTTGTAAAACAACATGCCCACATGTTTCGGTTTTGCATCCAGTGCCCTCTTCTCATCTCGCCTGACGTGCTTTAAATCTAGCCATATCGAGTTTTAGGGCCCAGTCATCGGGGTGCAAATAGCTATGATTATGGTAGTTCTATTCCAGCATATACCAACTTTTAGGAGTTATCACCATGATTATATTCATCAATCATCTCAGAAGATCTCAGAAGTATGTGTGTGTGTTTATTGTTCCCTATATTCTTCCAACGGCTTCCTGAAATATAATTTAGTAAACAACGGGATGATACGCCTTGATCTATCCCATCATCTGTCCCATTGCATCATTTCAATTCATTTTCAATTCGTGTCACCCCTTTTGCCGCAGCAAGGTACGTACTAAACTATCGATCACCAGTCACCAGTTGGTCTATATTGGTTTACCCATATGTATCCATATGTGAAACTATGTGAATGGTTACAGGATGGGGCCCCCCAGTGATGTTTGTTGGTTCATAAGCCATGAAAAAATCCCCATGAACTAGTTCGTTATATCTATCATAAACCATAGAATTCAGCCACTTTTCTATGGCAACGGTTCACGCTATCGACTGGGGGCCCCATCCCGTTCAATCGCCTTTGCGGCGCCTTTTTCCCCGTGACCCATCCTTTGCGGTTGACCCAGCGATGCTAACTCCTCCCAGACCGGGTGGTGCCCCTATTAATTTAGCTATAAAAACAGTATCTAACCATGGAGTTAAGTTAGAATTACAATATGTTATAATATGTTTTAATCACCGATGACATCAGTTATACCATGGAAAAACCCACAACAAAGTCATACCCCCCATTTGTAAGCTGTTTTATAAGCTCATTATCTAGAGATAATCTATTTGCCAAATAACATGAAACCCCGACTATACCAGTTATAAAGCAACTTATTATTCCACAAACACCGTTCCGCTCGAACACAAAATGGCTCCATCTCTGTGGACATCAAATCTTCCACATAGGCGGTGAGCAGGATACCAAAGGTGCGCAAGAACCTGGGAAATATGCCCCAGCTTTGCGGAGGAAATCAACAACACATGTGCATTTTACCCGCCAACATAAGGGAAACTTAAGTGGATATGGTATAGCATTTTTTTGGGTGGGTTTTATATAACTTTGTTTAGTATTGCTTAGTAATCGCCACCTGTGATTGAACCATCAACACTTGAGCTTAACTCTCCAAAATGTTCATTCCAACGAATTTTAACTTCATCAACACAAAATTGCAATTGATCGAATAGTGTGGGTATACTGTAATTTGATGTAATTGGCAAACAATGGCAAACACAATGCCATGAACCATTCCCACTAACCATTTGAGCCGACCAGCATGGATGATCGGGATCCACATGGATGATCGCCAAGGAACATGTAGGCAAAGCCGCCATTTTCAGCGACCAAATGGACAAACTTGGTGGCATCCAGGAAAGCGTAAAGTGCTGCACCTGTGACCAGAGACTTCCAGTGACCTACGAGACATCACAGCAGTCAACCTTCGACCAATAGTTTCGTTTGCCACAAAAAACAACATTTTTCATCCTTCACATGTTTGGTGCATGTTTGTGCTAGCGGGTGGAAAACCGCGCGTGTAGTCGTGCAACTTTTTGAATATGGGGGTGGGGTGGGGTGGGGTGGGATATTAACGTTCATGTACCTTGCGTACATACGTGGATGCTACGCTGTTGCTACGTCACTGGTCATGGGTTGGGTGAGGTGGGGTGGGATATTAACTTTCATGTACCTTGCGTACATACGTGGATGCTACGCTGTTGCTACGTCACTGGTTGGGTGGTATATTAATGTGGGACAGCGATGTATACACTATAGATACACACTGGTTGGGTGGTATATTAATGTGGGACAGCGATGTGTACACTTTAGATACATATACATATATATATACACATATATATATATCTCTATACATTATATATATATGATATTTATGACTTGGGAGTCGCAGCAGCTTCCAAGTCTGGAAAGCCTCCACCTGAGAGTGCCCCGCGCATTCGTGCCACTGGTGCTTTGCAATGTGTGCAACCGACCCACAAACGTGGGCGCAAAAGCATCTTGGTAACAGACGGTGCCCCATGCTACCCTAAACTGACCTCTGAACACAGTCTGCTTCATGAAGCTTGCAATCATAGTAAGGGCATCTTCTGCATCACCAAGAAAAAGGAATGGGGAAACTTGCTGGTGCACACCGGTGGCATCGATGGAATGTGGAAGATTTCCAAAGGTGCAGTATCATCCTCTTGGAGCACACGTAAAGATGGTGTTGTGAACCCTCAATTGCTTCAAGGAATAAGGGTTTGGCAATGGCGATGGCACCATGGAAATTCCACTGATTTCCTTAGTCTCACAGGCAAAGCTCTGAGCAAACGCTTGGAGAAGTGACACGCCACCGAAGACCAAGAAAAAAGGTTCCAGGCCGCCACAACCACAAAACCCTGTAAATACCACGACATTCCTTCAAAGTCAATTTTGACCGGCAAAATTTAAGGAAATGTTCATCATAAAATGTGTACGGCGCCACAGCGCCAGAAGAGTTTCTTTTCAAAAAGTTCTTAACCGCTAGCGCGGTTTCCCACCCGCCGGGATGTTTGTGCCATGATCCTCAAGTTTTCCTGATTGAACAATCACAGGATGTTGGTTTCGAAAGCTTGAGAAGTAAGCTTGTCAGCAATCGTCATTCCATTTCTATAGGATTCAAAGCAACATTAACCAAATCGTCATTGAAGTTATACCATGATATCCTCATTATAGATGGTTAAACGCTAGAAATTACCTGCATCCAATCTAAATGGGATAGAAATGATCATCAAATCCCACCATATCCCATCTGAATGTTATTGAAACATGGGGGTATAATTCAATCCATTTATTCAAGTATATAGTTAATACCCCAATTATTTCATATCAATGGAATGTAATTATATAGAAAAATATTTCATATCAATGGGACATTTATCCACATTACATCCCCCATTTTATATCCATTAGTAAACATGGTTCTCCATTTATTCAATCCATTTATAAAAAGGGAGCTTCCTAAAGTAGGGGTACCCCCAGTGCTCATCCATTTCTAGATCGGATTTTCCATTATAAACCATAACCCAACCATTTTGGGATATCCCCATTTCATTTCAGGAAGCCCCCATTATGTATATATATGTATATATATATATATCCCCCATTACATCCCCCATTAAATGAATAGATAATTATATATGGGGCTATATAACTATAACATACCCCATGAACATAACCATTATTTACAGTAACTATATATATATATATGTAATGGGAAATATTTACATACGTATAGCCGTATAGTTTTCATAGTTATCTCGCCATATCCCCATGACATCCCCGGCGCCTTGCGCCGAGAGCTGACCACGGTGCCACCACTGGCTGAAGAGGCTGATCTCACCTGAAAACGACGCGCCTCGCCACTTTATTGGAAAATGGTGATTTCACCAGTGATGATTTTATAGGGTTTATTGGGTTAGTACAATTCTATTGGGTTTTACAAGATTTCTAGATGACATTGATGATACCTAAGTTGGGGGCCAACATAATTTTAATCTCACTAGTGGTACTGTGGTCTTTATGATACACACATTAAAGGAGCTCGTAATTCATGCGGTCAACATATGGGGCCCACGACGCTGATGGGCTGAATGGGTTGCGAGGGATTTTTTCTGCTTCGATCATGTCATCCATGAAGCTCTGATCAGATCATTTTCCATTTGAACATTTTGAAAAATCACCATTGATAGATGATTTTCGCAGATTTGTTCCATTCAAAAGCTCCATCGATCAGGGAGAACTGGAGAACTGCGGCCATGGCAATTCCTCCAAGGGGCAAAGCCACTGGCCTTCCTGGATTTGCTGTCCCAGGTCAGTCCTGGGTCAGGTGGTATGGCCGGTGGAAACCGGCCACCGTGACGCGAGTTGTGATTTGGATGGTTTATGACCTTGGGGTCACCAAATTAAATAGCGTGTACGTGTATAGTTACTATAGTTGTGTATCTATATCTATATCTATAATCTACAGTAGATATAGTTATAATCATAAGAAATTATATTAGGCATCTATGTCTATATTATAAATATGTGTGCGTGGCTGTTGTATGCATGTATGAGTTTTTAGCACACATCAATGAACCGATAGATGCACACTCACGAACACACACACACACACCAATACACTTCGTTGTTAAATAGAGGCAAGAATGATGTGGATATACCGAGTCAGCAGAATGCCTCTGGTACAGTGAATCAAGCAAGAGACCAAGGGTTGAGTATCCCAGGAACTCTTTCCATGAGGGACAAGAGTTAAGCGGCTGGTGGCTTGGCATCAGGCAGCTGGGATAATTTGACTATAGAGCGGGCACCAACGCAGACTACAGCTCATTTGGCATTGTTCCCTCCACTCCCCACCGAACAGCAACATCAGTTCTGGTGAATGCGGGTGAATTCATGTTAGGTCCCGGAAAATAAATACATAACTTAACTATATTTGAATATCTATATATATATAAGTATTAATACTTAAATATATATATATATACATATAACTATATATATAAGATAAATGAAAAATATTTACTTTGTATTTATTATTAAATATTACTAAAGATATGGGATTATCCATCCATAGTGCCCACTAGTTAATGTTTGGGTGGTTGGGTGAGTACATGTCAAAACCAGCTTGTATGCTTTGACATCGTCCACCTTGCCATAGAGCCTGCAGGTGCTGATTGGCAATGGCGAAAAGCACTTCGATCACCTTGCCTTCCCTCTTCCAACCCCTATGGAACTAGTTTAGGTGGAATATATGGGTATATGTGCTGGCTATTAAATATTGTCATAATATTATTTCTCTATTATGCAGTAGATGATCCAGGTGGTTTTAGCAATCAAGCATCAAATGTTCCCCATTCAACTTTCGTGCTCTCTTCATGCTCTTCAAATGTTTGGATCCTAGGGCCCTCAAGGCAGATCATCACTATCCAAAAATCAACCACATGTTTAGTTCATCATGAATTATATATAAATAATATCGTGGAGAAACCCATGTCATTACAAACTGGTGCACCATCTTTATCTAATTAAGTTGGTTTCAAGATTATATCGTTTTATAATTGTAAGTGTCATTAGGTGGGTTAATGGACCACTGGTAACCAGCCTATAACTAGGGGGCAGCACCGAGCATCGATCGATTCTGACGACGCCGTCCAGGGCCGCCGGTGCTTAGGCTGGACATCTGATAGTCGTCGCTGTAGAACCTGGGGATTCTGTTAAGGGAATGGGTCTGCAACGAGAGTTCACCAACCAAACAAAAGGAAATCATATATTGATATCTGTAATGGATCGATTATCGTGGGGATATATACATATACGGATATAATGAGACATAATTAACTTTTCACCAGGAGAAAATATAGTGGGGACAGAACCTACACTCTGGTAATAGCTATCACTTTGCGAGCTGGAAAATCCTCATTGTATTTGTAGTAAATCGTGGAACTAAATGGGCGGCATGTCCATTGAACATCACTGATGGAGGTGTTGCAGAGTAATTGTCGGAGATGTCACCCAAAGGACTTCCAAAGATTTCTTGATGTGATGTTGGGCGATTTTGGGGCAAATGTATTGGTGCTAAACGCAGGGAATTTTCGGGAATGATCCATAATCACTAGTAATAGTCATCCCAGCAACCCCCAGCAACCCATCCATTCCCTATTTTTAGCACCAGTAAGATAATAACTGTGGCTATATCACAGATGATTTAACCTACATTTGGGTGATTTTGGGGGTAAATGTAGATAAATATTCCAGCACCATGGAGCCTCCTGGGGCATATGGGTAAGCTAAACAGTCGCCACCAACGCTGCCAAAGTTCATGAGGCCATGGGTCAAAATCACGGCGCCATGACAATCCTCAGGATGATCAATGGGGATGTCATGGAAGATGTTAATAGTGGTTTAGAGGTGGTTTAATGGGATAAACAAACAAACAAAAATTGTGTTTTTAATGGTATTCACCCTCTGGCTAACAGTTTGCCATGGAACATGTTCCATGAAAATAGATGGTTTACCTATCAAAAATGCTGATTTTCCATAGCTATGTTAGTTTACCAGAGGGTAATTTTAATGGAAACCTCTTAAACCTAATTCCTCTTATTGGGAATGGTTTGCACCACCCATTTCTGTCCAATTTCTGGTTAATCTAGGGCAATTAATCAATTTGAACATGATCAAACAAACAATCATACGGCATACTGTACTCCTTACGATACCCACCAGGGAGTCAATCCACCCCATTCTATAGATATAAAACGGCTGGCCGCTGCAATCCTTTTGCATTCCTTGATTTTGCCTCCATGCTTCCAACCCCATCAAATGCCAACCCTTGCCTTTCAATGGGCCAAGTTGGAATAATGTCGGCTACTTGTAAGATTTCCCAGGGTGCAGCCACTATAAAATGGCTGGCCTCAACCCATCCACCCAATATGAAATTGGTGACTGGATTGAGTTCCAAGCCTTCCAAGCAGTACATGCTGCCAGCATCCACATGCATCTACCATCTCTTTGCATTCCTTCATTTTGTTTCCAATGCCGCCCAATGCCAACCCTGGCCTTTCAATGGACAATTTTGGAATAGTGCGGGCTGCTTGTAAGATTTCCTTTTGGAGGTTGTGCCTCTCCTCGAAGCATGTTTGATCCAATCAATCTGGATACCGGAACCATGGCTGCATTGCAAACACCTGAGCAAATCTCGAGAGATTTAGAGCTACAACCTTAAAATCACTATAAAACGGTGTGTGTGTGTGAACCCCTGAAGGGCTACAGCTGGAGGTGCATAAAACAAAATATAGCATACCTTGACCCCTCTAATTTTATAGATAGAGGATTTGTTCCTGGGGATATTCAAAACATACAAAACCTGCAGAACTGGTAGGTCACAACAAACCTACAACAGCTCCATAGCTTTTCAGAGATTGAGACATCAGGTAGTAAGCACTAAGAATTTTATCTGTAATTGAGGTTTTCCATGACATAGGTTCTGGGCAAAACCTGTGCATCAGGTAGGTTTACACTATGGATTTTATAGACCCTGTCTCCCTCCACCCATGCAAAACCTGCTGGTTGAGGTACTGCAAACCATGAATTTTATAGAATGCTTGTGTGGAAGATGCAGGTTGATATGAAATGATTATGCGGGACCTGGATATAACAGTGTCCTTCAATAAAATCAGCGCCTGGCCCCCTATTCTGACTGAATTAAACGTTTTATTAGGTGACCGGGCCCCCTCCATTTTACCTTGGAGTATTGTAAGGGGTATCATACGGCTACGTTAAGATCGGAAGCTTGTTTTGGCTTTGTAATATGACATATAGATTTCCCTACCTAATATCCAACATATCACCAGTGGTGCTCAGAATCGCCGTACCCAAGTGAGCTCTTGCCAACTCTTGCACCCCGGCACTGTTACCCTCAGCCACCAGGCAGTTCACCCAAGTTCACCGTGATGAAGGAGGGATTTTTTTTGCCCCTAACGGCGCCCTAGCGGTGATACAACGTTGCATCCCTGGGTTTCCCGTTTTTAAACCAGTTCACAACCAGCAAGTGACAAACAAAGGTCCTAGGATTCATGGGCATCATGGATGACTCAAAAGAACACACAATCCCCAAATCCCCAACGAAAACCTGCCGAAACATTTAATTTCCTCCAATTGTTTCCTCTTTCAAACCATATAGTTATCCTGTTTGAATCCCAACGCATAAGTGTGTTTATCATTGATTTTTTGGCTATGGTCTTATTGATTGGATCCCGAGAAAGAAAAGCCAACATTTGCTGCTGAAATGCCAATTGCTCATCATATTTGTATGATTAACACCCACATTACGTGTTCATATGTTGATGGTATATAATTATGACTGGTACGAACCGCCATGTACGCCATTGAGATGCTAAATGTTGGTGGCCCGGATTGCTCATTATTATTCTTGATGGTTAAAAAAAGTCTGCAAAAATGGACCAAAATTACATGGTTATTATTTCCCTCCTCAGATTGCCATCACTGCGGTTGAATCCACCATTTCACACCCAAAAAACATCAAAATACTTTACTTCGTGTGATCCCCACGATGACATTTATACGTTTTGTTACTGGCAAATCTTCTGGCAGTCTATCTGGCATATCTTCTGGCATTCCATCTGGCATATCTTCTGGCATTCGATCTGGCATTCTATCTGGCATATCTTCTGGCATTCTATTTGGCATTATTTGGCATTCTATCTGGCATTCTATCTGGCATAGCTTCTGGCATTCTACCTTGCATATCTTCCGGCAGATGTTCTGGCATATCTTCTGGCATTCCATCTGGCATTCTATCTGGCATATCTTCTGGCATATCATTTGGCAAATCTTCTGGCATTCTATCTGGCAAACATTCTGGCACTTTATCTGGCATATCTTCCGGCATTCTATCTGGCATATCTTCTGGCATATCATTTGGCAAATCTTTTGGCATTCTATCTGGCAAACATTCTGGCACTTTATCTGGCATATCTTCTGGCATTCTATCTGGCATATATATAATCTGGCAAATCTTATGGCATTTTATCTGGCATATCTTCTCGCATTCTATCTGGCCTTTGAGGTCCAGCGGTGCGCACTGAGCTCGGAAGGCCCCAGGTTGAGGTCCAGCGGTGCGCACTGAGCTCGGCAAGTCCCAGGTTGAGGTCCAGCGGTGCGCACTGAGCTGGGAAGGTCCCAGGTTGAGGTCCAGCGGTGCGCACTGAGCTGGGCAGGTCCCAGGTTGAGGTCAGGTCCAGCGGTGCGCACTGAGCTGGGCAGGTCCCAGGTTGAGGTCCAGCAGTGCGCACTGAGCTGGGAAGGTCCCAGGTGTTGACGTCCAGCAGTGCGCACTGAGCTCGGAAGGTGGCGAAGAGCTTGGCGAAGAGTTGGCAAGGCGGAAGGAGGTGGAAGTTGATGCAGACATGGTCGAGGAGAAACTGGAGGAGGAGGCGGAGGAGGAGGAGGCGGAGGAGGAGGAGGACAACAGCTCTGATAAAATCTAACAACCCTCACCTGGCAGGTGGGGAAAAACACATTCAGTTGGGCAGTCAAATCCGATAACATCAAATTACATCCTCGCTATATGCCCATTGAATAGATCCCCATTGTACCCTCACTACCGATTTTCATGTGGCCAAACTCAATCACAAACAAACCCAGTTACCATTTGGGAGCCATTACAATTCATTGAAAAAGGGGTGTATCCAATAACAAACATTGTTTGATCATTTGATCAATGTAAAATCAATAAACAATGTACCATCTGGTGATTTAACATAGCCATGGAAAATCACCATTTTTAATAGGTAAACCGGTAAACCATCTATTTCTATGGGGCTATGTTAGTTTACCAGAGGGTAATACCAAATAACAAACCAGACTTGGGCATTGCTTATTGGTACATTTTGGTACCAGACGTGGATCACTGATGAATGGAACCACCTCATTGAATCGACTGTCAAGCGTCAGTCCCTGTCAAAAAGACATCCTGCGACTTCTCGGTCGCCTGCTCCGTGATGGCCAAGTGACCTGTCTACGAAGCCACGCAAAGCACTTGCCAAAGTTCGGCTTCGAACCAAACATGAAACGGTTCATGATGGGGATTTATAAAAGACTGGGAGGTAACAGGAGTCTACCACTGAAGATGTGTGAATTAAAACATGAAGTAAGTGAACATTGCACGACTTGAAGTTCAAGGAACTGAAGACAAACATATACAACACACACACACGCATTTTATAACTCGAGTGTCAACAAACCACCAGTGTCAACAAGGCTGTGAGGTCAAAGCGCCGGCAGAAGGGTTGGTTCTCAATCTTATGTTGAACCATGTTGAACCAGCATAATCTGAGTCGAACCATAATTCGGATGGAAGCAGCTAAAGACAGGAAATGACAGGAAGTTCTCAAACAGTCCAATTGGAAAGTCAGGAGGGCAAAACTCGGTAGAAACTTTGGCCCCCACTGTGGGAACACAATTCGGAGAGGAACCCTTAGATGTCCATGGGAAGCTGAAAGCCCAGCGGCAAAGGTTGATCAACAGCCAGGAATTATCCTAGCGTTCGTGGATCAAACTCAGTTATGTTGGGAATCTTCACATGGCTTCACTCCATCTCCAAACGTCTTGCACACCACATGGCGATGCAACAAATGATTTCGGATCGAAGTCCACTCAGCATACTTAGCTCAACTAATGAATTCAACCTGAACATTCACGGCTGTCCATGCTGGGTCTGGCATTTTGACCTATAGCCTCTAGGTTTCCTAAAAGAAAAGGGTACCCCAAACCAAGGGCTTTCCTATTGAAAGCATGAATTTTGCATGTTGGGGTACCCCTTCGGGTGATTAAAAACCTCCAGATAGTTGGTACCATCGGCGCCTTCATGGCACTGGACGTCCAGCACTGCCGCATGAAGACGGGTTTGAACATCTCCTGGCCGCAGCCCCCTGTAAAATGCCGAGGTGATTACCTCTCATGGGCATGCACCATGATGCAACATGTACAAACAAGACATGATACACAAATAATCGTCATCGTCATCGTCATCGTCATCGTCGTCGTCGTCGTCGGCGTCCTCGTCGTCGTCGTCGTCGTCGTCGTCGTCCTCATCCTCATCCTCATCCTCATCATCATCATCATCATCATCATCACACTCATCATCACGCTCATCATCACACTCATCATCACACTCATCATCACCACCACCACCACCATCACCACCACCATCACCACCACCACCACCAGCAGCAGCAGCAACACCAGCACCGGCATCATCATCATCATCATGATGATCATCATCATCATGACCACTATCATCTTGAAACATATAATATCAATAATTCAATAATGATAATTTATCAGTTTGCGGTCCCGAGACTTTCTCTCACCCAGATTGCTCCCTTCTGGCGCCTCGTGCACCTTGGCCCGCAACCTTCGGAGAAGACTCTCCAAGGATTGGGGGAAATCTTCACGGTGCCCACGTGGGATTGATGGTTGAAAAATATGTGTTAGTCCCATCCACTATTGAGTGGTTTGCTATTGGGGCTGACTATTGAATTTACTCACATCTTTCATCCCCTAACCCACAAACGGCAAACAATGGGACCCTTGTCAAACATCAATGTGAAGATGATCCAAAATGGCAAGGAATTAATTTGTCAGGTTCTAATTTAGCCCTTCACCCCAACGACTGCCCATTACAAATCTCCATTGATGATGAAACATCTCATTCTTTATCGTAGAATCATCTCTGAATGGATAAAAAAACATTGATCTGGTCTGCAAACATTATATGCCAAACAGCATGGTAGGGCCCACGCATCAGTTAGTCACCTTTAGTCACTGTAAGTCTGTTTTCGTCATCATGTTATAAAGAAATCCACCGCAATTTGGGCGTCCAGTTGGACTTTACTAAATCTACGGCAATGGCATGGTACACTCGTGATAAAGTCCATCAGGAGGCGTGGCCTGGGTGCGAGAACCTATGGTCGTATATACCTTGAAAGTAGCGAGGTAGTATAAACACTCATAATTACTTTTTGGGCCAAACTGACCCAAAACTGTGGCTAAAGGGACGGTAAAACCACCAGCAGAAGGGCTGGCGCAACTCAAGAAACCCGATTTCTTTGGTTTTGTGGCCGGCAAACTTAGCGGCAGAACCTGTGGTGAACTCTGTGGGAACGAAAAGCCATGGCATTTGTGCCGGCAAGTCGTATGGCAGACCATCCGAACCATTGATGGACAAGCAAAATTAGGGGCAAATGTGCCGGCAAGAGGCCCGGCAAAGCGCGCAAACTAGCTCTGGCCAAGCCAAATTTACGGTCATTTTCAACGGCAAATGCCTTCAATGCAAAAGATGAAAGTTGGTACATGTTGGCACGTTTCAATGTGGAAAAGCTGAACAATGAAAATCAAAAATCAATATTGCATCCCCCTCTTCATGGGGTCACAGCAAGCAAGATCTGCTACTCCACCAGGAAAGCAATCTTATTGGTGATTTTTTCCATAAGCCGACTTGGACAATGTCCGGGCACTTGCAAAAAACGCTTCTTTGATTGCTGCAACCTTGACAGACGCCTAGCAAGAACCTGGCACAATCCTAGCAATGAATTGAAGGGGGCGTCGGTAGCAGGAACCTTGTAAGCCGGCGGAACTGACCTGGCGAAAGCCTGGAACCCAGCGGAACCTAGCAGAACCCAGCGGAGCGGCGCAACCCAGCGAAACCCGGCGGAACCCGGCGGAACCCGGCGGACCCGGCGGAACCCGGCGGAACCCGGCGGAACCTGGCGGAAACCTGGCGGAAAAAAAGTAAGTTGAAGGGGGGGTGGTTGGGAGTATATGCCATGCCAAAAGTTATACTCCCAACCACCCCCCTTTAACTTACATTTTTTCCGCCGGGTTCCGCCAGGTTTCCGCCAGATTCCGCCGGGTTCCGCCCGGCTTCGCCGGGTTTTGGTAGGTTCCGGGCGGGTTTCCGCCAGCCTCGGGCTTCTGCAAGGTTAGCGCGAAGCCGTCAGGTTTGCATCAAGTTACAAATTATTTTTCCCAAGTTTCTGCCAAGCCTCTCCAACGCAAGACCTGTCACAACTAGTCACAGTTTAAGCGTTCTTTTTTCAAAACAGTTTTCAGCTGAATTGTCAGCTCAGCACTGCTTGCCCGAGGGGCGGCGGCTGCTTGAGCAGCTTTGCTGTGAAATCAAGGCCCACGCAACCAACTTGTCCAGTCCAATGCGCGGCGCTGGACGCTGGAGACCTTTGACCGTCAGCTTGGCAGGTGCTAAAAGCGATAATGAAAACACGGTATGCACCTGGTGTCCGGCAGTGAACTTCTGAAGTATAATGCCAGGCGCGTCCCAACTTGGAAGCAAATAATGATAAATAATTTATGTTGGTGCCAGGTTGTGCCTTTTGAGGCAACATTTCTACTCGGTTTGCTGCTCTTTTTTGCCTCGGATTTTTGCTAACTTGACCGGCATGTTGCCGCCTAGTTTGCCGGGGGTTCGGCCGGCTGCTTGGCCAGGGCCGAAACCACGATTTTCATCTTGTTTCTGGGGAGTGTTTATACTCCCAGGCTTACTCCAATATATACCCATATGGAGATAGCCCCAAATCGTCCATGTCATTTTCGGAGTTTCCATGAAAATCACGGACAGCAAGTAAATAAATGTAAATGAAGCACCTTTTTATTGGGGTACTCCCATAGGAAACCACCGAGAAGGGAAACACATCTCCGGTGCCTCTCAGGCGACGTCTGCAAGATGGCCACGTCCTGCTGCAGGAGCCAGCGTATTCCAGCGTGGAGGCTCCCCTTGAGATGGGCCACGCACTTAGTTAACTGGTTCGTAAATGGATTGGAATGGTATTGTAATATTACAATGACAATATATCATGATTTGGATATCTTGGGATATGTTGAAGGATACTTTGTATTTTCATTGGGATATATATATATATATATAAGCCACTTACTACGCTCAAGCCGGATTTTTGTCGCACCTGTTCGAAGATGGAGGCGGATTCTGCCTTCTCATGGTAAGCGTTCAAACACAACCTGCCGCGTTCCAGGCCCGTGAAGGTAGAGGATTTACAAGGAGAGGCCCCGGAGATAGCTAAGTTGACTTACGTGGATTAAGTCTGA